ATAATAATTTGGCACGATATTTTATTTATTATATTTATTATAACATGTATATAATATTATAAAATAATATTCGAGAAATTTTTATATGATAAAATGTATTTATTATTAAAATTATTACCTTATTATTTAGAAAATTTTAATCGAAAAATATTTAAAAATTTATGAATAAATTCATGAATTCTAATTTTTATTATTTTAAATTATTTTGCTTAATATATCGCATAAATTATTCTATAACTATAAAATATTAAAAATAGTAAAAATATTAATATTTTTAAATTACTTATATATTTATAATATTATCTATCTACACATGATTTTATAAAATATCATTAAATTTCATTAAATATTATAGTCTGTAAAAGAAGAAATAAGAAGGATGAACAAATCGCGCATTAAATGGTGGCCGCAATATTTAGCAGCGATTACAGGTAATTTTAAATTATTATTAAAAAAAAGAAAAATTTTTTATTTTAAAATTTATTTAATATGAAATATGAAATTTTATTGCCAAAATAATAATTGCTCAATTATCATTCTGAATAAGATTATATATATTATTAATTATTACTTTAATTGTTCATTGAACGTTGAAATATGTCAAATCATATAATAAATATATCATAAATTTTAATAAATATCAATTTTAAAATATATTTTTTAATACAAAAAAATCGAATACTACATATAAAAGATGAATAAAAAATTTATTTTATTTTCTTTTTAAGATAAATAAAAAATAATAATTTTAAATAAGAATAAATAACAAATAAATTCGATATTTAAGATATTAATATATCTGATTTTAGAGACCAAAAAATCATATAATATATACGATATAATATAATAATAAACAAAAATTTAATTAAACAAATAATTGAAAATTATTAGTATTAATAAGTAATTGAACATAAATAAAGCGAGATAATGACAGAAAAACATGATAAAATTTCATTCTATTTATGTTTATATTTTTTTCAATATGACTGAAAGTATATATTCAATATTGACTGAATATTTTACAGTGATATTCCTTTTAGTTTTAAAAGTGATTCAATTCCTCTTCTGCGGAAAATTCGTCACGAAATTGAGTCATTTTTAATAGAAGTAAAAGAAGTAAAAGAAGTAAAAGAAGAAACATATTGTTCCCATCTGACAACTAACTTGGTTTTCAGTTCAATTTCAATGCTGTAGATATTGTCTCATTACATGTTTATTCGCACATTTAATATTGAACATATTTCTTTTTTTTTTAGCCACCTTATGTTTAGCAGCAGCTGGTACTCAGATAGGATGGACATCACCGATATTGCCAAAATTAAAGTCTCCAGATTCTCGTGTACCACTAACCTCGGATGATGCTTCATGGATTGCTTCATTCTCTCTCCTCGGCTCGATACCTAGCATTATCCTCTCAGGTTTCATCGTAGACCGACTTGGTCGTAAAACAAGCCTCCTGATAGCTGGAATACCACATATAATTTCTTGGATTTTAATCATCGTGGCTTGGAATCCTTACGTTCTCTATTTATCGAGATTCATAGGTGGCATTGGGCTTGGTATAGGTTATGTTATTTGCCCAATGTATATCGGTGAGATCGCCGACAAGGAGATTAGAGGATCTTTAGGTTCTTTTATCAAGCTTATGGTAACTTTTGGCGAATTATACGCTCATGCGATTGGTCCATTTGTGTCGTACGAATGTTTGGCTTACAGCTGTGCTGTAATTCCTATAATCTTTCTTTTAACATTCGGTTGGATGCCAGAATCTCCTTATTATTTATTAATGAAGAATCGCGAGGATAAAGCGATAAATAGTTTAAAACAGCTTAAAAGATATGCGACGGAAGATCAATTGGAAGAAGATATGGAGCAAATGCAGAAAACTATGATCAAGGATCTCAGTGATAGAGGATATATTTGGGATCTATTCAACACTAAAGGTAACAGAAGAGCTATGTTAATCAGTTTCGGTCTTCAGTTAATCTTGCAATTCAGCGGTTTGGCTGCCATAGAATCTTATACTCAAGAAATTCTTGAAGAGGGTGATACGAATTTATCAGCTGCAGTAGCAGTGATCATTTTAAGTGTTCTTCAGTTGGTAGCAGGTGTTGGTGCCGCAGCTCTGGTGGACAAATTAGGAAGAAGACCGTTGCTTCTTGTTAGTACATTTCTTGGTGGATTGTCTTTAACTATTGCTGGGGCATTTTATCTTCTTAAACTTTACATGCTGGTAGACATAACTGGTTTTGGTTGGGTTCTTTATGCCTCTGTTATATTTTACGAATTAATTATTGCATTAGGTTTGAATCCATTAGCCTATATGATGCTCGGAGAATTATTTCCAACTAACGTTAAAGGGGCTGCTGTGTCTGCAGCAAATTTGTGGGCTTCTTTATTAGCATTCTTCGTTTCGAAAATGTATCAAGTTATTTCCGATTTTTACGGTGTTTATACTTCTTTCGGTTGGTTTGCGATCAGTTGTTTTCTTGGAATTATTTTTATACTCTTTATGGTCCCAGAAACAAAAGGGAAAACTTTGTTAGAGATACAAGAAGAATTGAATTGTAAACGAAAACAAGAGCGGAAAATAAACAAAAATAAACAAGAAGCCCACGTAAGTACGATAGGTTAAGTCAGATATAGGATGGAACGATAGTTTTAATTTGCATTGATAAATTAATTGATGATGATTAATAAGATTCATTGCTATTTGATTCATCATGATCTATTAAAATTATTTTGAGATCAAGATTGAATAAGTTTTCAATATATTATTTAATACTAGAATTATCGAGAAGTTTTAAATTTTGCAATTAAAAATGTACAGGTTTTTAACAAAATTTATATTTTCATATTACTTTAATTGTAATCATCTGTTTATAATATATTTAAATATATATAAATTGACGATTCTAGTGTTAAAGATAATATTTTTATTCAAAATTTACAATTTACATTTCAAATACAAAATCAAATATATAAAATAATAAGAGAGATAAAAGAGATTTGTTAATTTTTATTATTTCAAGATACAGAAAATGTTAATCTACATTTTTATCAATAATACATAATCGAAATCTTATCAAATTTTAAAAATAGTTAAAACAATGAACTATCGTTCCAATAAAAATTAAGAATCTCTTAAATATTGTTTTCAAAATATATTTCAAGCGTTTTCGATGTTAAACTTGAATTTTAAAATTTAATTCGAATAAAATATTGCTAAATTTCAATAAAAAGAATTCTATGAATTGTTTTCTATCGAAATTTTATTTTTTCGAAAAAATTTCAACTAAAAAGTCATTGTTAATATGAAATTTTATATATTAATTTTATGTTAAGTTTGTTTAAATATTAAAAAATTTTTTATTTATTCAAATCAAAGAACAATTATAAAAAATGAAAATTCGAAAATTGTGACAAGATTAACACCGGAACGTTAAATTTTTTGAAAAAATTATATTTTTTATATTTTATTTTCTTTTTTCTTGTTATTGTAATTTAGAATATAAGATTTTGTTTCCTAAGAGAGGGCCCTTATATTCCAAAAGAACTTGCTTTGATGAAATATCAAGATCGTTGAAAAAGATACTTGATTAAAATTTCATCGTTGATCAAAGAAAACAAATTGGTAATTTCTTTAATAAATTTAATAAATCACTTACATAAAAGCAAATATTGACAGATCAAATAACTGTATAAAAAAATCATACGTCATAAAAACAAAGAAAAAGAGGAAAATGTGATAAGTATGACTTAAAGACTTTTACACATTTATTTTTTTTATCATGTTCATATACAATTTGTATGAACATTTATCAGTATTTTCGACGACTGATTATTTACATAAATCATAGGAATTTTACGATGAAATCTTAATCAAGATAATAATCGGAGCAATTTCAATGAAGAAATATAATACAAGAATTTTTTTGTTAATTTCTAGAAATTAATTCGAAAATTCGAACAAGTTTCTAGAAATTGTATTGTATTATGAATGCGTTATTTAGGGTCCCAATTGTGTAAAGAGCAAACTCGCATGACCATCTTTTCTTTCCCTTTTAGGCAGGGTTAAACGTTGAGACTGATAGATTTTAAATTAATCGTAAGCGTATTTTTATTCATCGCCAAATGATATCATATTATAATAAAAAATTGATTTATTGCAATGAAGGATTTATTTAAATTTTTGCGATATTATTCAATCTGTAGATTACTATGATATATAAAATTATATATACACGGTGTTAATATATTTGTGAAACATCTTTGAAGAATCGATTCTAGAAATCTTATTAAGTTATAAGCAACTTAACTTTGTGTTAGATAAAATTAAATGCAAAGTAAGACATTATTTCTGTTACATCATTAGCTTATTTTGCCTTTGTTTTGCTTCATTTAATAAAAACTTCAATCATTTATAATTTAATAAGTAAGCCTCAATTGATATTTTTGTATATAATACCAACTTTTATATTTGCCACTTGGAATTGTCTTTTCTGTATTGCAAAAATATTTTAACTATATAATATATCCTCCTCTTCATATATATATATATATATATATATATATATATATGAGGAGAAGGATATATATTCATATATATATGAAAAACATTTAACAAAATTATTTCCAATATTTATTTTATAATTTCATACTTTTAAACTACATTTTTTTATACAAAATATCTCATTTTAATAATTTTTTTATATTATTTTGTTTTATTTTCTTGTATTTATGTATTAATATTTCATCTATGTATTAGAGTATTTAAAGTATTGAAGTAATCTACAGATTAAGTATATATTTAATAAATATTTTGAAATGTTCCTTGTGATTAATTTGGCGATTAGGACCATCTTTTATCCCTTTCAGGCAGGGTGCAAGATAAATAATATAATGGTTACGATTAAACATTATCAAAGCGCGCCGCGTATTACCGCAAATATAAAGAACCACGCGCAGTAAATGGCCCTGATACAAGATGGATTTAGATTGAGCACCGTAGCATGACTAACTTTATTTATCCCTTTTAGGCAGGGTGAAACATATTACTATAAGAATAGCTTCGGCGCAGAATATAATCGGCCCGATTATAATTATATATTTCTTATTATTAACATCACTAATGAACAGCTGATATTTTATATATTTCGTTGAATATGGAAGATGTGGTTTTTTATGGAAAATAACGATTATGTAATTGAATTGATTAATACTTGTTAAATATATTCATTAATCGATTCAATAAAAATTGAAATAATGTAACCACATGTTATGCAGGGTGTCTTGAAAGGAAACCTAATACAGTAAATCCCTATATCTTATTATTGATATATGTAGTTATTGATAGTTATTGATAGTGCAAAAAATGGATAATTTCTATTTCTATTTTTCATTCATCAGAAAATTATTAAAATTTTGTTAAAATTACAATATTGAAAAAACATTGAAAAAAATTTTTATTAATATAAAATGTTAAAAGATTTTTAAGAGAAGAATTAATCAAAGAAAATTTTTTTTAAATAAATAAAAAACATTTGCTATTACCTAAGGGTTTTACTGTAATTTTAGATACTATCAACTTATTTGCCAAATTGTTTGAATGAATATTATCATATATATTATAAATTTTAATTCATTCATTATTGACACCTTGTATATGATCGATTAAGTATTGATAAAAATTAATACTTATCGATGTACACAACGAATTTATATAATATGATGAAGCTTAATGTACTTATTGTAAAATGGTTTTACTCTTATTCTAAAATAAGTATTATCCCTATGTTTACGCAATTGCAATTACGACTCTCTACAAGTCCCTTTAAGGCAGGGTGTAAGACTCGAAATGTATAATTTCATATAAATTTCTACAATGTAGACGTTTGCAATTTACGTTAACAATAAATATTATTGATTCAATGCAATTTGGACTTAATATTTATTTTATTTTTAATTATCTTTTTTATTTGTGTTTTTAAATGTAATTATGATTTTTTTTCAATTTTTCACTTATATCACATTGATCTAACCGATAATAACACATTAAGCTACTTAAATAAATTTTATCTAATTTAACAATTAATAATAACAACAAAATTTGATAAAAAATTTCATTGATACTATATAATTTAATAATTAGGAAATCTGAAAAAAATTTATTGCTAGAAAATTAAATTTTAAAAAGATAGAATCTAAGAAGAGATAACACATAGGACTTTTTTTTTTTAATTTTAAAATTACAAATTTTTGCCATCTATCAAAAATTTTTAATCAATTTTATGATTTTAAAAGATAATAATTTAAGAGGAAATGATATGAAAATTATTCAAGAAATTTTATGAACAGAAATTTATGTTTTTTTATTGTTATATTTAAATTTGTATTAATAATATATATTATTTGTATTATTTAATATATTTAAAAAAAACGTAGTTTGGAAAATTATTTTGATATTTCTAAAAATAAAAATATTAATCATATATTTATCATTAAAATACTTATCTCTTATCTATAAGTTTAAATATTTATCTCTTAATTTTATAAAAAATAAAGGGAGATTCTATCTCTGTTATATTTCCATCTCACTAGTATTTAATCATTAGTGCCATCTTTTTGGAATGTGCTCAAACTTATATAGCTTAAACATCTTTTGCTATTAGCTCCATCTGTTCAAAAAATATTGAACTTCTTATAGTTGCCAACAATAGAATAAATAAAATCGACACATATTTTTCTTTAAATAGGTTCTTAAATTTAATTCTTACTTAACTTCTTTTGATGTCGCTAATATTCCAGGTTTTATATTATTAATGCGTTATGTGTTAGACAATAAATTATTTTATTGTCGGTAACTGTATAAAGAACTTCAATATTTTTTCAGTAGATGGAGCCATTAATTTAAATCTATTAATCTCTTATGGATAACAGAATATTAATTTGATTTTTCAAAGAAATAGCGCAAGTTAATTGTAATTTAAGATAAAAATAGAGCATTTTTTTATTCAATACAAAATTAAATTATTTATAATTTAAAAAATAAGCATCAACGAACATTTTTGCATATCAATTTTTGTGTTTGTTTTTATATTCATTTTAAATCTTATATTTTGTCTATATTTTTTTATATATAAATATTAAATATATATGAATATCCTTATATCTAATAAAAATGTAATAGAAATATATACAAATATAAATTAAAACAAAAAATAATAAGATGCAATAAAAATCCAAATATGGACAACTAGTATGTATATTTTTTGCATTATAATAACATTATACATAAATGTTATTACAATATAGAAACATAAACCTTAATATTTCATCCATTAACATTTTACAACATCATCAGTATGATACATATCTCAGTTTCGAGATTATTATTATGTTTTCCTAAGATAAATCTCTTTGCTTATGCCTTGTAAATACTCGTTAACCTATTCGGATTCGAGTGAAGGTTATTCGAGAAAACGTTTACATCTCATTGAATAAAATAATCTCTTGTTGCACGTGATAGCAACGGACAAGATTCAAATTCGTATCTTTTAATTAAATCGTTACAATTCGTTACTTCATCATTAAAGACTTCCATTCCATCGAAATCCATTTTTAATATTTTATTGGAAAATGTATAATGTGCTGCTCTAGCATACGGTAATTAGAGTTCTATAGTTTTCAATAATCTAACTTCGAAAAAGAACGATCGCGAGGTTATTACAATCTTTGTTACTCGATGCTGGTTACTTACTTTCTAAATAAATATTTTTTTATCATCTTTACAGCAAATCTT